GAGCTTGCTCAAACTCATGTCCATTGAGTAGGTGATGCCATCCAACCATCTAATCCTCCGTCGTCCCCTTCTCCTCCCACCTTCAGTCTTTCTGGCATTGGGGTCTTTCCAGTGAGTCAGTTCTTTGCATCAGGTGGCCAAAATATTAGAGTTTCAGCTTCAGCATTAGTCCCTCCAGTGAATATTCAGTACTTATTTCCTTTAGGATTGACTGGTTTGATTTCCTAGCAGTCCCAGGGACTCTGAAGAGTTTTCTGGTTCAACACCACAGTTCAAAAACATCGATTACTCAGCGCTCAACTTTCTTTATAGTTCGGCTCTCACATCCATACATGACTACTGGAAAAACCACAGCTTTGACTAGATGGACCTTTGTCAGCAAAGTAATGTCTCTGCTTTTTAATATGCTGTCTAGGTTGGTCGTAGTTTTATTTCCAAGGAGTAAAGTGTCTTTGATTTCATGGCTGCAGTCACTGTCTGCAGTGATTTTGGAGTAAATAAATAAAGTCTGTCACTGGTTACATTGTTTCACCATCTATTTGCTATGAGGTGGGACCAAATGCCATGATCTGTTTTTTGAATGTAGAGTTTTAAGCCAGCTTATTCATTCTCCTCTTTCACTTTCATCAAGAGACTCTTTAGTTCTTCTTCACTTTCTGCCATAAGGGTGATGTCATCTGTGTATCTGAGGTTATTGATATTTCTCCCGACAATGTTGATTCCAGCTTGTCCATCATCCAGCCCAGCATTTCGCATGATATACCCTGAATATAAGTTAAAGAAGCAGGGTGACAATATGCAGCCCTGACGTACTCCTTGCCCGATTTGGAACCACTCTTTTGTTCCATGTCCAGTTCTAACTGTTGCTTCTTGACCTGCATACAGATTTCTCAGGAGGGAGGCATAGATAAACCCATCTCTAAGAATTTTCCACGGTTTGTTGTGATCCACATAGTCAGTAAAGCAGAAGTAGATGTTTTTCTAGAACTCTCTTGCTTTTTCAATGATCCAACGGATGTTGGCAGTTTGATCTCTGGTTTCTCTGTCTTATTCTAAATCCAGCTTGAACATCTGGAAGTTCACGGTTCACATACTGTGGAAGCCTGGCTTGGAGAATTTTGAGCATTACTTTGCTAGTGTGTGAGATCAGTACAATTGTGCGATAGTTTGAACATTCTTTGGCATTGCCTTTCTTTGGGACTGGAATGAAAACTGACCTTTTCCAGTCCTGTGGCCACTGCTGAGTTTTCCAAATTTGTTGACATATTGAGTTCAGCAGTTTCACAGCATCATCTTTTAGGATTTGAAATAGCTCAATTGGAATTCCATCACTCCACTAGTTTTGTTCACAGCAATGCTTCCTAAGGCCCACTTGACTTCACATTCCAGGATGTCTTGCTCTAGGTGAGTGATCACATGATTGTGATTATCTAGATCACGATGATCTTTTTTGTACAGTTCTTCTGTGTGTTCTTGCCACCTCTTCTTAATCTCTTCTGCTTCTTTTAGGTCCATACCATCTCTGTCCTTTATTGAGCCCATCTTTGCATGAAATATTCTCTTGGTATCACTTATTCTCTTGAAGAGATCTCTAGTCCTTCCCATTCTATTGTTTTCCTCCATGTCTTTGCATTGATCACTGAGGAAGGCTTTCTTATCTCTCCTTGCTATTTTTTGAAACCACTTTCAAATGGGTTTATCTTTCCTTTTCTCCTTTGCCTTTCACTTCTTTTCTCAGCTATTTGTAAGGCCTCTGCAGACAACCATTTTGCCTTTTTGTGTCTCTCTTTTCTTGGGGATGGTCTTGATTACTGCCTCCTATACAGTGTCGTGAACCTCCATCCATATTTCTTCAGGCACTGTGTGCATCAGATCTAATCCCTTGAATCTGTCACTTCCACTGTATAATCGTAAGGAATTTGATTTAGGTCATACCTGAATGGTCTAGTGGTTTTCCGTACTTTCTACAGTTTAAGTCTGAATTTGGCAATAAGGAGTTCATGATCTGAGCCACCATCAGCTCCTGGTCTTGTTTTTGCTGCCTGTATAGAGCTTCTCCATCTTTGGCTGCAAAGAGTACAATCAGTCTGATTATGGTATTGACCATCTGGTGATGTCCATGTGTAGAGTCTTCTCTTGTTCTGTTGGAAGAGGGTGTTTGCTATGACCAGTTTTGCCAAGAGGCAAAACTCTGTTAGCCTTTGCCCTGCTTCATTCTGTACTCCAAGGCCAAATTTGCCAGTTACTCCAGGTATCTCATGACTTCCTACTTTTGCATTCCAGTCTCCTATAATGAAAAGGACATCTTTTTTGGGTGTTAGTTCTAAAAGGTCTTGTAGGTCTTCATGGAACCTACAGTTTCTTCAGCATTAGTGGTTGGGGCGTAGACTTGGATTACTGTGATACTGAATGGTTTGCCTTGGAAATGAACAGAGATCATTCTGTCATTTTTGGGATTTCATCCAAGTACTGCATTTTGGACTCTTGTTGACTCTGATGGCTGCTGCATTTCTTCTAAGGGATTCTTGCCCACAGTAGTAGATACAATGGTCATCTGAGTTAAATTCACACATTCCCATCCATTTTAGTTCCCTGATTCCTAAAATGTCGATGTTTACTCTTTCCATCTCCTGTGTAAATCAATTTATCTTGATTCATGGACCTAACCTAACATCCAGGCTCCTATGCAGTGTTGTTCTTCATAGCATCAGACTTTACTTCCATCACCAGTCACATCACAGTTGGGTGTTGTTTTTGCTTTGACTCCGTCTCTTCTTTCTTTCTGGTGTTATTTCTCCATTCTTCTTGAATAGCATGTTGGGCACCTACTGATCTGGGGAGTTCATCTTTCAGTGTCATGTCTTTTTGCCTTTTCATACTGTTCATGGGGTTCTAAAGGCAAGAATACTGGAGTGGTTTGCCATTGCCTCCTCCAGTGGACCACATTTTGTCAGAATTTTCCACCATGAACCATCTGTCCTGGGTGGCCCTACATGGCATGGTTCATAGTTTCACTGAGTTAAGACAAGTTGGTTCATAGTTTCACTGAGTTATGTATATGAATACATAGCTCTTTATAACATTCTTTATTTGGAAATTTGAGACTATTCAAGATAACTGTGACCTCCAGTGTAAGGATATATTGTAGAGCTAAACTTTGAGATACTGTGCAAGAATTTTTTCCATACTGTCATTTGTAATATATTTTGTGAGAATTCTTTTTTTTTTTTTTTTTGAGAATTCTTGGGATTAAAGTTTTGGTTACAAGTTGTTGTTTTAACCTGAAAGCCTGTTTTTTCCTTAAAGAACTAAAATAATCTGAGCTTGGTATCAAGTCTTGGTATAACATTTGTATTGGAAGCCATACTTACATATTTTCTTATAAAGTGTTTTTAAAAATACAATGTTAATATAATTGTGTAATAGTTGATCCTACTATTACCATAGTTCTTGTCCCATAGAAGGCAGTTGGTTACACAAATCTTATTTTGTAAAGAAACACAATTGAGGGATTTGCATTGAAGGAAGACTTTGGTTGTCTTACCTAAGTGATGGTACACTTTTAGAAGTAGAAACCATTTCAAAATTCATTATATTCAGTGACCAGCATTTTAAAATGCAGTTACAAGATACATTATAATTTGAAGTTTCCCTAAAAAAGAGAAAAACTTTTATCACTTCCCACAAATCTTTAAAATTTGCTTCCATTTTATGTAATTTGAGATATTACATGGGAATTCTACATTGATCCATCATGATGTAAAATTCACTTTATGACTCAAAGGTAACTACAGAATTGAATATGGAGGCACACACAACCTTCCTCTTAGAAATGTAGAGGAGTTGTAATTTCAAGTTTTTATACAATTAGGTTAAATCATAATACAACAACAACAAAAGATTAACTGTACTAAGAATTGACAAGGATACAGAGTATATGAATATATTACTGTTGGCAATGTAAGATGGTACAGCTTGTTTGGAAAGCAGTTTGTTGATTTTTAAGCGTTACATGTATACCTGCAGTGTGTTATTGCCATGCTGCTTTGCATAGGTATTTACTGAAGAGAAAAGCATATACAAAGACTTGTACTGTAAGTAGTCCAAAACTGGGAATGAACCAAATGTTTGTCAACAGAAGAATTAAAAAACAAATGTGATATAGCCACACAATGGAATGCTGCTCAGCAATAAAAAAGTTAAATATTGATACATATGACAACTTAGGTGAATCTCGAAATAATTATGTTGAGTAAAAGAAAGCAGATAGTATATGCTGTATGATTCCACTTACATAAAATTCAAGAAAATGCAAACTAATCCATAGTGACAAAACAGATCAGTGGCTGCCTAGGGTGAGGGGCTTTAGGGAAGGACAAGAGAGAGAGGTTAAAAAGGAATCATCAGTAAAGTGCACTCCATTTTTAAAGTGCACTCGTTTCCTAAGACCAGAATGTTCACGAACCTTTGCCCTGTAGAGTCAGGTGACCCTTAGGCTTGTCAGACATGTGGTGGTGAAAGTGTTAGGCTTCATTCTGCAGGGTGGAGCAGGATTTGAGAGAATTGAATATGTATTTTAGGAAGATAACCCTGGCAGCATTGTAAGGGGTCCCAGGGAGGGGGAATTTAGAAAAGAACCAGTTAAGGGGACATTACATTTGACCTTGACTGAGGTTCGAGGTAATAGGAAGCAGACTTGATAAAATTGATAGAATGTGTCACCAGTGAGAGGGAAGGGAGAAACCTGCCTGGTATTTGGGGGACAGGTGGGGGTCATCATATAAGATTGAGAATCCTGAAGGAAGACAGGTTTGGGGCAGGAAGGAGGTGGATAGACTTCACTTTCTTAAGGTCGAGGAGAGTCTTTTTAATTCTAAAAGTAGTCTAATTTATCAGTTTTTTCTCTTAAAAAATGAACTCTTCCTGTCTTTCATGTTAATTATATTTTGTAAAAGATTTTATTTTATTTGTTTTAAGACTTTTCCTCCCTTTGTCTCTAGATATCATTGACCCTGCAATCCTGCGCCCAGGCCGCCTGGACAAAACACTCTTCGTGGGTTTACCACCCCCAGCAGATCGTCTCGCCATCTTAAAAACTATCACAAAAGTGAGTAAAGGAAATGGTACATTTTTGTATATGTTTCTGATAGTTTAAATAAAGATAGGTTTAAATATTTGTCCAACCTGTATCTCCCAAAGGAGAAAGTGAACTATTACTTATAATTTTTTAATTAATGTTTATTGGAGTGTAGTTGCTTTACAGTATAGTTTCTGCTCTGCAGCTAAGTGAGTCAGCCATATGTATACATCTATCCCCTCTTTTGGGGATTTCCTTCCCGTTTCGGTCAACACAGAGCACTAGAGTTCCCTGTCCTCTATGATAGGTTCTCCTTAGTTGCCTGTTTTATACGTAGTACCAGCAGTGTATACACATATATCAATCCCAGTCTCCCGTTTCCTCCCACCACCTTTCTTTCCTCCTTAGCACCCATACACTTGTTCTCTACTACTTGTGCTTTGCAAATAAGATCACCTTTACCATTTTTCTAGATTCCACATATATGCGTTAATATACGATATCTTTCTCATTCTGACTTCACTGTCTATGGAAGTTTTTAGGTTCATCCATTTCTCTACAGGTGACGCAGTTTCATTCCTTTTTATGGCTGAGGAATATCCCATTGTATATATGTCCACATCTTTAACCATTTCTCTGTTGATGGATATTTAGGTCATTTCCATGTCCTGGCTTTTGTAAATAGTGCTGCAATGAATATGGGGTGCTTGTGTCTTTTTGAATTATGGTTTTCTCCAGATATACGCCCAGTAATAAGGTTGCTGGGTCATTTGGTAGCTTTATTTTTAGCTTTTTAAAAAAACCTCATACTGTTCTGCATAGTGGCTATATCAGTTTACATTCCCACCAGTGGTACACGAGGGTCACATTTCTTCACACCTTCTCCAGCATTGATTGTTTGTAGACTTTGATGATGGCCCTTCTGACTGGTGTGAGGTGATACCTCATAGTTTTGATTTGCATTTCTCTTGTAAAAGTCGCAAGATTAAACAGAACTATATTTAAAAAATCTTAATGACCCAGATAACCACAATGGTGTGGTCACTCACCTAGAGCTAGACATCCTGAAGTGTAAAGTCAGGTGGGCCTGAGGAAGCATTACTATGAACAAAGTTAGTGGAGGTAATGGAATTCCAGCTGAGCTATTTCAGATCCTGAAAGACAATGCTGTTAACATGCTACACTCAATATGTCTGCAGTTTTGGAAAACTCAGCAGTGACCCCAGGACTGGAAAAGGTCAGTTTTCATTCCAGTCCCAAAGAAGGGCGATGCCAAAAAATGTTCAAACTACACACAGTTGCACTTGTTTCACAAGCTTATAAGGTTATGCTCAAAATCCTTCATGCTAAGCTTCAGCAGTATGTGAACTGAAAACTTCAGATGTACGAGCTGGTTTTAGAAAAGGCTAAGGAACCAGAGATCAAATTGCCAACATCCATTAGATCATAAAGAAAGCAAGGGAATTCCAGAAAACTATCTACTCTGCTTCATTGACTGTGCTAAAGCCTTTGACTGTGTGGATCACAACAAACTGTAGAAAATTCTTAAAGGGATGGGAATACCAGACCACCTTACCTGTCTCCTGAGAAACCTGAATGTGCCATCAAGAAGTAGCACTTAGAACTGGGCATGGAACAACAGACTGGTTCAGAATTGAGAAAGGAGTACTACAAGGCTGTGTATTGTCACCCAGCTTATTTAACTTATATGCAGAGTACATCATGCGAAATGCTGGGCTGGATGAAGCACAAGCTGAAAACAAGATTACTGGATGAAATATCAGCAACCTCAGAAATGAAGATGATATCACTCTAATGGCAGAAAATGAAGAGGAACTAAAGAGTTTCTTGATGAAGGTGAAAGAAGATAGTAAAAAAGCCGACTTGAAACTCAGCATTCAAAATTTAAGATCATGACTTCTGGACCGATTACTTCATGGCAAATAGAAGGGGAAGAAGTAGAACCTGTGACAGATTTCATTTTCTTGGGCTTCAAAATCACTGTGGATGGTGACTGCAGCCATGAAATTAAAAGACACTTGCTCCTTGAAGGAAAGCTATGACAAACCTAGACAATGTATTAAAAAGCAGAAACCTCACTTTGCTGACAGAGGTCTGTGTAATCAAAGCTATGATTTTCCAGGAATCATGTGTAGATGTGAGAGTTTGACCACAAAGAAGACTGAGCACTGAAGAGTTGATGCTTTCGAACTGTGTGCTGAAGCAGACTCTTGAGAGTCTGGTGGACTCCAAAGATATCAAACCTGTCAATCCTAAAAGAAATCAACCCTGAATGGTCATTGGAAGGACTGATGCTGAATCTGAAGCTCCAGTACTTTGGCCACTTGATACAGAGAATTGACTCACTGGGATAGACCCTGAAAGATTGAAGGCAAAAGGACAAGATGGAAGCAGAGGATGAGATGGTTGGATGGCATCACCGACTCAGTGGACGTGAATTTGAGCCAACTCCAGGGGATAGTGAAAGACAAGCGAGCCTGCTGAGCTGCAGTCCATGGGGTCGTGAAGAGTTGGACACAACTTAGTGACTGAACAACAACACAGTGAGGCCCCAGAAAGCTCCCTGCCTGCTTTCATCATTTGACATTATAGCAAAAAGAAAGTCTGTGAACCAGAAAGCAGCCTTCACCAGACACTGAACCTACTGGCATGGCTTAGAGTTGGACAAAGAGTCGGATGTAACTTAGTGACCAAACAGCAGCCATGATTATCCTGGAGTCTTGTTTTTCTGTTGATTCATCCTGATCAAGAATGGGCTTGCTTGATGTTGGTGTTCTGTAAAAAAGTGTTTATGTTCAACAGAAGAGCACCACTGCCTAGCTGTGAGCCCAGCCAACTCATAGCAATGCTATGGGCCACTTGCTGGATGTCAGGGCCTGCTTTTCTCTGTCTTGGTGGCTTTATATTTCCAGATTTTTATGTCATGAACATATAACTGTATATTAGGGGGAGGGGTGTGGGGAATTTTTTTCTAAACAAAAACATAAATGTTGAGGTTAAAAGGGAAAGGCCTAGAATTTGCTAGAAAGGCTTTTTGGGCAGCTTCCATGCACAAAGTTGTGACTGTTAAAGGAAAGAAAAAGCAGAAGACTGATAAAAATCTGTACAGCTTCGAAAGGAACTTTTGTGGACTTGTGGCTTAGACTGTTATAGTGTCAGTTCTCAACATCTGTCCATGCTAAGGGCTAAGGAGGGCTGTGGGCCATTTTTTCTTAGACTTTGTTTTTGTAGCAGTTATGAGTGCGTCTTGTTCTCAGACCCACTCCACAGGAAGGAACCCGCTCAGGCCTGGGCAGCTGGGCACATTTTGTTTCCTCTGAGGAGAGCTCCTTGCACTGCATTTCACATCCTTACCTCACTTTTCCCCTCCAGAGGCCTGGAATGTTTAAAGATCGGTGTCGATGGCTAAAGCTGAAGCAGGCTAGAGGGAGGGAAGCAGCATCTCACTTCAGGGCAGAGTCCACAAGGTGGACCTGCCCCCACAGGTTGTCTTTATAAAGACTTAGCCACAATGAGGAGAGCTGGCATTTTTAATGCTTAGTAAGCCATGGTATTTCAAAGTGTGCTGGTTTTTTACTTAATGTCCCCAGATTGTCTTATATATTCTCTTTCCACTTTTTCCAATTAATACTCGAAATATTATGGTGAGGTTAGAATAAAATTCTTCAGTCTTGGTCTGAAAATTGTGAAAATCTGCAGGTCAGAGCAACTTTTCAGTATCTCTTGGAGCCTACGTTTCTTAAGAGAAAAGTGAGCAACGACATACTGCTTCTTTATACTTTGTATTTGGTGATTCTGGTAATCATGTGGTAATGAGAGGCTTATCACTAAAAACCCCCTTAGACAAGTGGAATTTTTTTCTTTCGTAATTTTCATTTCTTCCCTATAAGTATCATTAAAGCTTACCCTTACCTCAGAAAGCCAGAAAGGTTATTTGATGTCTGCCACATGCTTGGAGATAATTATATGCAATCTTTAAAATATATGCAGTCTTTAAAAATTATATATAATTTTATAAAATTATAAAATTAAATGCAATCTTTAAAATTATATGCAGTCTTTATTGTGCAAAAGCTTTAAGTTTAATTAGGTCCCATTTGTTTATTTTTGCTTTTATTTCCAATATTCTTGGATGTGGATCATAGAGGATCTTGCTGTGATTTATGTCGGAGAGTGTTTTGCCTGTGTTCTCCTCTAGGAGTCTTATAGTTTCTGGTCTTACATTTAGATCTTTAATCCATTTTGAGTTTATTTTTGTGTATGGTGTTAGAGAGTGTTCTAGTTTCATTCTTTTACAAGTGGTTGACCAGTTTTCCCAACACCACTTGTTAAAGAGGTTGTCTTTTTTCCATTGTATATTCTTGCCTCCTTTGTCGAAGATAAGGTGTCCATATAGGTACATGGATTTATCTCTGGGCTTTCTGTTTTGTTCCATGGATCTATATTTCTATCTTTGTGTCAGTACCATACTGTCTTGATGACTGTGGCTGGAAATAGAACTGCCATATGACCCAGCAATCCCTCTCCTGGGCATACACACCGAGGAAATCAGATCTGAAAGAGACACGTGTACCCCAATGTTCATCGCAGCACTGTTTATAATAGCCAGCAACCTAGATGCCTGTCAGCAGACGAATGGATAAGAAAGCTGTGGTATATGTACACAATGGAATATTACTCAGCCATTAAAAAGAATTCATTTGAATCAGTTCTAATGAGATGGATGAAACTGGAGCCCATTATACAGAGTGAAGTAAGCCAGAAAGATAAACACCAATACAGTATACTAATGCATATATATGGAATTTAGAAAGCTGGTAACGATGGTAACGATGGTAACGATAACCCTATGTGCAAGACAGAAAAAGAGACACAGATGTACAGAACAGACTTTTGGACTCTATGGGAGAAGGCGAGGGTGGGATGATCTGAGAGAACAGCATTGAAACATGTATATTATCAAGTGTGAAACAGATTACCAGTCTAGGTTGGGTGCATGAGACAAGTGC